TGTTATGGAATATCTGTTGGTTTTTGAAGATGAAATCAGATGTTATACATGTGTTGGGTAAGATTAGATTCTAGAGGTAAACAGACATCCTGGTTTTATATTGTACCTATTCTACAGACTGGGGTGAGATACCATTTCATATATTATCTTTCCTTACAGATCACTTACCTCACCATTAGATTATTGACTTGACCACAGGCTACTAGTGACCTTTATTTATCTACTTAATTTGTCCTCGCTTCGTCTTCTATACTGGACTCGTTCTACTTCAGATTCCATCTCATTTATACTTAGACTTATATAATATAATATAGTTATATAAACTAAGACTCTCTTCCCAGTCTAGCTATAACTCTTGCCCCACCCATCTCTGGATGCTCTTCCCAGTCTAGCTATAACTCTTGCCCTACCCATCTCTGGATGCTCTTCCCAGTCTAGCTATAACTCTTGCCCTACCCATCTCTGGATGCTCTTCCCAGTCTAGCTATAACTCTTGCCCCACCCATCTCTGGATGCTCTTCCCAGTCTAGCTATAACTCTTGCCCTACCCATCTCTGGATGCTCTTCCCAGTCTAGCTATAACTCTTGCCCTACCCATCTCTGGATGCTCTTCCCAGTCTAGCTATAACTCTTGCCCTACCCATCTCTGGATGCTCTTCCCAGTCTAGCCTTATATCTGGCCCTACCTATCTCTCCAGATGACGTGATATACAGATGACTAAGACTGACACTGTTCACAGTCATTTATTGATATTGTTTTAGTCCAATTCAAGATGTTCTTCAGCAAATTAATCCAGTCAATAGTTTTCTATTTTCTCTTGTTTTTGTTGGGTTTATTATTCTGGCTTGGTATTTGTTTTATCTTCTATACAGGATACTTTCCACTGTTTCTTCAACATGTAGACCCTCAACTAACTTGCTGAAAACAAATTGTGTCATATGATTTCAGACAGTTCCCTGCAAATTTGAATGTTACCATTGTAATGAAAATTTATTACATACTGTTAATCCTGTAATTGATTGTAGACAAACTGAGAGCAAGATTTTCAATCTGGAAAGTGACACATGCAGCTGAAATAATGTTTTGAAGCTTCTTGATAACTAAAAATTCATCAAATTTTCCCCTCGTGTTCTATCAAGTTGATTATATTGTTATTATATATTGAAATATACTTTGTGATGACATGATAAGATACCAGTAAACTTTGATTTGTGATGAAGAGAAAATGAATACTGTATCTGGTGTTTATACAAAACAAGTCTGCTGACAAGAATTTGATTAAATTTTTTTTGTCTTTTTAAAATTCAGGTATGTTTATTTTTTTTTCTGTGACTGATTCTTAAAACATAACCTGTCACAATGGTTTCTTCTGTCTTCTACCTCCAGTCCCCAGTCTGCAGCCCCCAGCCTCCAGCCCCTAGTCCCCAGTCCCCAGCCCCCAGTACCCAGTCCCAAAACCTCTCCTTATCTCTGCATCTTATAAGCACTCCCCTACCTTCCTATGCAAACTTCCCCGTCCCCTCCCCTCCTACCTCCATATCAACACAATTCTTGCCCAAATCTTATTCATCATAGTTTACACACCAACCCCTTCAAAGAACATCCCGTTTTTGTCTCCCTTTTCCACTCTCCTCTGTTCAGCCCCACCCCTAATATAAGTTGTATTCTTATAGCAATCCCTCCACCTAAATACATCCCCCCTCCCTCCAACTTGTAACAGCCCCACCCCTAATATAAGTTGTATTCTTATAGCAATCCCTCCACCTAAATACATCCCCCTCCCTCCAACTTGTAACAGCCCCACCCCTAATATAAGTTGTATTCTTATAGCAATCCCTCCACCTAAATACATCCCCCCTCCCTCCAACTTGTAACAGCCCCACCCCTAATATAAGTTGTATTCTTATACAAACCCCTCCATCTAAATACATCCCCCCTCCCTCCAACTTGTAACAGCCCCACCCCTAATATAAGTATATAATATGTGATAACAAGTAGTTAATGTTGATAATAATATTTTATCTAGTCTATAATCTTATATCATCATGTGATTGATGGGTCCAATATCATTTTCTACTTTCTACCCTTCTTCCTTGTTTCTTCAAAAAAAAAAACAGCTAGTCTGATATTTTGGGGTGAATTTAAAATGTTGAAATGGACAAATAATGAATTGTAAGTTGGATATTTTTAAATTTTATAGTTTGTGTCTATTTCTCCTTTGTTTGTTCAAAAAACTGCATATTTTTGGGTGAATTTGGATGGATTTTAAGTGGATATTTGGATGATAAATTTTTATTTGTAAAATTTTAAAATACCCGATTAATAAATTGTGAGTTAGAATTTACAAATTTTGATTTATTCCCATCTTGGGATGCAACGATTCTTGAAGTTGGGTTTCGATACACTATATGATACTCATCTAACGATACGATTTATCACGATAATTATCGCGATTCATTTATTAGAGAAGGAAAGGGAAAAATATAGTAGAAATTCGTAAAATTACTAACAAGTTTATCACTATTAAACACTTGAGAATATTTAGAAGTAAGAAATTGTGAAAAAAAATCTCAATTATGATAAATAAATAAATTTGTGCAAATTTTGATGTGAAAATCATACTTGGAAAATAAAAACATGACACAATTTCTTATACACACAAGAATTCTGTGTTATTTGTTATTAAAGGGGTCTAAGAATTAATCGTGCCGATACATTACGATTATTTTTATCCAACACATCGATATGAAAGAATCGCGGTTTATCGTGAATCGGAACTTCACATTTGTTGAAAAGAACACCATATTTTGAGTAATTTGATATGAATATTATAGATGATAAATCTCAATTCAATAAATCTATAAATAGACAAATACTTCTTTGTGAGTTTGAATTTTATATTTTATCCTTCTGTGGATATTTGAATTTTAATAGTTGTTACCAATATTGGATAAACAATCTTTATTTATAAAATGTCAGATAGAATTTACAATTTTAGTTAGAATTTACAATGTTAGTTAGAATTTACAATGTTAGTTAGAATTTACAATGTTAGTTAGAATTTACAATGTTGGTTAGAATTTACAATGTTGGTTAGAATTTACAATGTTAGTTAGAATTTACAATGTTGGTTAGAATTTACAATGTTAGTTAGTGTTTACAATGTTAGTTAGAATTTACAATTTACAATGTTAGTTAGAATTTACAATGTTAGTTAGAATTTACAATTTACAATGTTAGTTAGAATTTACAATGTTAGTTAGAATTTACAATGTTAGTTAGAATTTACAATGTTAGTTAGAATTTACAATGTGAGATAGAATTTACAATGTTAGTTAGAATTTACAATGTTAGTTAGAATTTACAATTTACAATGTTAGTTAGAATTTACAATTTACAATGTTAGTTAGAATTTACAATTTACAATGTTAGTTAGAATTTACAATGTTAGTTAGAATGCGTTTTGATGTGT